AATATAGTACGTTTATATATATATATATATATATAAAATTACTTACTATATTACTATAATAATAATATTATATAATATTAATAATATAATAATAATAACTATATAATTACTACTATATTACTATAAATTATTATATATATTATTATTATTATTATATATATATAATATAACATACTGTTATCATATATATATAAAATTATAATAAATCATTTTTCAAATGATCTTAAATATATAGCTGCCACAGTAAGTTATTAAGATCTACAAAATGTATTTGTTAAATGTTAGTTCCAGGTCCACATAAAAAAGTTAAGAAACGATAATTTTATACTATTTTTGCCGTTTCACATAATAGCAAAATTAAAAAAAGGGTATTTTAGTCATTGTACAGTAAATCAGTTATTTAATTCGGTTTTAAAAAATTGTTTGCATTTTAAAAGGTGTGCGAATACTTCTTGCCAGGTACAGTACTACAGAAAATTCTGCAACAGAAGGGCGGAAACATTTTGAACCCGTATATAATCGGTTAAATTCGTTGTTCACTGCTTTCGAAGACGTTCACGCAATCGTCGAGCCGGTCCACTGCGGGCATCCGTGAATATCTTGTGCAGAAATCCGCGAAACGCGTGCTACCACTTCCACAAAGGACGAGCCAACTACGACTCGGTCTTTGTGTGTCTCTAAGTGCCATACAAAAAGCTGTCTCGGTCCCCCCCGTGCCCCCCCATCCCCCCACCCCTCGGGGCTTGCCTAACAGCTTACAGGGGTTGCATTCATGACTTCGCTGAACGCCTATTGGGGTCTTCTGTGTGCGATTTTGTCGAGAGCCACGGTCATCATAGCACTGCGGGCTTGAACGAGCTATTTGCCAAACATTTTCTTTCACGAGGGCTGTCTCTCCTTTTGCTTGGCAAGTGCAAAGTGTCGCAGGTCCCTTTCTATTCCTGTCAACCCGGCCGGCACGTTGCCACCCTTTCCGGCGTTAAGCAGAACGATCGGGCCATCGTTATTGCTCGAGCATATGTCGAACATTTGCTGGGACGCGGGGAACAATTCCTGGCAATATCGGGGGCGCGAGTTTCCCGATTTCCGTAAATCTCTGATACTAATGATCGTAAATTCAGATTAGCAAGTATAGACGGAACACCGGCGCTGCTGGTCGTTTGATCGACTTAAGCGGATACGTAGTTCAATGAAATATTGGTCTGCATCCATAAATTCCAATGATTAAATGCCACACGGATTTGCAGGGATGAGGATATAACGAATCAATTTTTGCCGGGTTGTGCGATAATTAATCACGGATTACTTTGCATTAACGATTTTGATCCGTACGGGAAACATCGGGAATTCGAAACGTTCAACGACACGTGTTTTCAAGTACAGTGATATTTTTAATATATTAATTTACCACGGTGGCTTTTACCTTCTCGAAGAACGTACTTTCATTCGAACAATATGAAATGGTCTCACGAATGTTCTCGTTTGATTACACGATAGCGAGGAAATGGACATCGTACTTTCTTTTGTAATTGGTTTGCGTTAATTGGTATGACTGAATAAAATGTACCGGGTAAAGCTTGTTGTCGTAATCGCTGTGCTGCATCTGAACCGCTTCGAATCCGTTTCGACGCATTGCTATGCAACTCAGTCTGCCGCGCCTACCCTATTGTGTAATTTTGATACCGATATCTCGATTAATTTTGTTTCGAGAAGGTCAAATGCATCCGTCACCTTACTGCTTAGCTCAAACTTAACGTTAATGGTCTCGCAATTGTCGAATATCCGTCGATAAATTTCCGAAAATATCCAGTCAGCCCCAGAAAACCTTGAGCTTGCTTAATTGTTTGTGATAATTAAAACGGCTGAATTCTGCGCGAGGCTATTTCTCTGGACTGATACTGTATATTCTGTCTGTATATACAGGATGTCCCAAAAATGTCTCGCAATCCGAAAGTGGCGGGTTCTTAAGGTCATTTGAAGCAACTTTTTCCTTTACAAAAATTTTCTCCGAGGCACCGTTAACGAGTTATTAACGAAAAACAGTGACCAATAAGAATCGAGTACGGCTGACGCGTGGCGGCCCAGTTCCGCTCATTGGCTCGATCGCCTCGCGCCAGCCGAGCTCGCCTCTCATTGATCGCTGTTTTTCGTTGATAACTCGTTAACGGTGCCTCGGAGAACATTTTTGTAAAGGAAGAAGTTGCTTCAAATGATCCGAGGAACCCGCCATTTCCGGATTGCGAGACATTTTTGGGACACTCTGTTGACTGTTGTAAATCGATGTGAAGACAAAAGAAGCGTGAAACAATGCACATGAAGACGATTATTTGATTCAATCGATGAGCGAGTGAGCTACTAGAGCAAGCCACTATAGTGGCGCGTCGTCCAGAGAGATGACATCCGCGAAAGCCACTATAGTGGCGTGTCGTTCTGAAAGATGACATCCGCGGAAGCCACTATAGTGGCGCGTCGTGCCTAAAAGGTTAATATCTCGTAAACAAAACCGCGGATTGCATTTTCGCTAAGGAAAAAGTTACTGGAAGAATGATCGAATTTTGTGAATCCGAACATACATTATAATAAAAATGATGAAGAGTATAAATAATAAATAATAATAGAGTCTAAATTATAAATAAAATCTCGGTAGGTTTAGTTCCAACGCCACCAGATCGGCGAATTGAAATTTATTGGAGGAATTATTTACGAACTTGAAATTTTGAATGAACTGACGAAGATCGAAAAAAGCGGACAAAAAAACCCTCGGAGGATGTTTGCAACCGATCGAAGTTCTTCGATGTTTTCGGATATGAAACACACATTTGTGGCCGATGTTTTTATTGCACAGAACAGGATGCAGCCGAGTGATTTTGAGGAGCGCTCATCTACCTGGTGGTTCGTTTCCTATTCGACTCGCGCGTGACCAGGACAATGCAGCCCCTACTTAGCTCGCTGCTTCTTATCTTTTATTTAGCATTTGAATTTTTATTCGTTTTATGATTTCCTGTGCAAGCAGCCTAAGTCTTATGCTAATCGTCGATTGGTTGCTCTTCCGGTCCTCATGGACTGGCTTTAACCGGCTTGTTTGCCGCGGATATTGCGAAATTTCGAAAAGCCAATAAACCCATGGTCGTGCGCATATTTTCATCCCTTCGAAGACGTAATTCCTTTTGAAAATCTCACCCTCATTTATGCCGTCGGCGTATCCGTTCAGCAAAAATTCGAAATTGCGCGAGCAATTTCGACATTTCTTTAACCGAACTCTGGTTAAAGTTCGCTCGAGTGGCTCACTCAGACTCCGAGGCACTAAAACTGTTATATCATGTTCCAAGATAATTTTTGTATTAACGAAGTTTACATTTAAAAAATTGTTAAAAGTTTTTCTCAATTTTATTCGCATAAAATGCACTTTGTCATATAAAATGGAAATACTACAAGTCAGAAAAATGATTTTAGATTTGTGGTCAAAATAGCTTCGAGTGCAAAGGGTTAATTGTAGACTATAACAGCTAGCTTGACCCTTAGCATTTAGAAGATTTTTCTGATAAATTTTGCAAAAATTGTGACTTTGTTGTACAAAATCGAATTGAAATAAAAATCATCGCATGCGGCTGTGTAAATTTATAGGAATCAATAAATGAATGACTTTGTATTTTTATTTATGTATTAGATAAAATCACAGCCAAGGAAAGAACAACATTTTAGCTGGAAACACCAACACTTTGTATGAAAATTCTTATTGAATCGACCGCTCGGATTTTTAGTATTATTATTGCACGAAAAATTTGGCTGATCGGCTGCTGTTATATTCCATAGAAAAATATATAGCATTTCCTTAAAAAAAAATTGAGTTAATCTTGAAATCTCTTTCACTTCTCCGCCCACAAAAAGACTATTAATACTAAATAATTGTAACATCAATCCCTACTCCAACTCAAACAAGACATCCTGTATAACATAGCACCGACGACAGTTAGTGTGATTAAATAACTAAATTTAATAACTAAAAAATATAAATAACTAAATTCTGTTTAGAAAAAAGGATTATTCGGAACAGAAGTATTATTATTTTTAGATCGTCAAGGTGGCCCCAACTCCTTGAAAGCTGACAGTTTTGTTGCATTACCTTGTATCCTTCGGTGACCAAGCCCGCGTTCCTCTTCGCCAGATTGCATTTCATCCTGAGGGTAAAGGCACACTCTAGTTCGATTTCACCTCGTGAATTTGATGGCGGCAAGGCGAAGCCTGGGAGGCCTCCCGGGCCTTGCGGAAGCGACAAAACTGATGACATGTCTTTGTGGTCGTCGGGATAAATATATTCGTAAATGCTGCTCCCTGTTAATTCCACCTGCACACAGAAGATTTTTCCGTCAGCAGATCCCGGATGTACAAATTCTCTAACGAGATCTCTCCTAGCCTGGAATCATCGTTGCAATCTCGATGTCGCTTGCATAATAGTTATTCACGCGATCGTATCAACCCCTTGTCTTGAAACATCGAAGTTTTCCGGACACAATTTTATGCTTTACGAACAGAGAGTAAAATTAACTTCATGTCTGTTGTCACTGAAAGCTGAACAGCACGGCGTAACATTCAGTTACGCTTTCCTCGCGAATTATCGTGACGTTCCACAGAGGAGATACAGCATGTAATAAAATATTGTAATTACGTGTACTGATAACTAGACCGCGGGCTTTTATGCAAATTCCTGTTCTCGTGCGTCATTTTACAAAAATTCGAATTAGAGTAACGTTTCCTTCGGCAACTAAAACGTCGCGCACCGCAAAAAGAAAATCAAAATGCATTTGAATCTTGTTAAATAACGTTTTCTCGCTCGTGCAAATTTTGAAAATGCTACCGGACCTCGATGATTCATGTTTTTTCTTGCATTTTTAAGTTAGAATTAAGAAAATATTTTCCACATCAACTGAAAGGTTATCGCAAAAGACGTATAAAATAAAGAGGTACAATAGAATTTTGAGTTTCTTTTCCTGTTGAATAGTCGTTTAGTCGAAGAAGGAAACATTTGTTTAATTCTAATATTTTTCATTCTATTTTGAAAATGAAAGGAAACGTAAATTGACACGAATTGACAGTGGCATTTTAAAAATTTGCAAATGCTGTAATTGTACATAAAGATTGAGAGTGGCATTTTAAAAATTTGCAAATGCTGTAATTCTACATAAAGATTGAGAGTGGTATTTTAAAAATTTGCAAATGCTGTAATTGTACATAAAGATTGAGAGTGGCATTTTAAAAATTTGCAAATGCTGTAATTCTACATAAAGATCCACAGTCTACCGATAACAATGTAAATTTCATTCCTATTGCTTGACTTGTTTTGAGGCCATATTTCGGATGCTTTTGCTCGAATAATTACGTAACGTATTTCATCGAATCTTTGCAACACTTATTTCTGATTCTTATGCTTGCGATACTAAAAACATCGTTATGATACAAATTGTAGTAATTTATCATCGAAAAAATACTCGCAAGATAACTCATTGTAAGAGAACGTATTATTACAGTGAACGATTCGACTCGAAACATTGCCATCTTTTTGATAAAATATTGTTTCAACTACTATTTAGAATAATTTAGTAATTTTAGCTGATAGCTGCGTCACTTTAAATAGCGAGTCTTCGTTCAAATTTTCACGAGCAAGTTCTGAGTTTGTATGTTGCGTAAAGATTATTGAATTATCTTTAAGAAAACTTCAGGGTGCGCCGTGACAAAGTCACGGAACAGTCGATGTAGATAGAAATATTGAATTAGGAAAGTCTTAAAAATTGTATAAGGCACAGACATTTCTTGAACATTATTCCTCTTTATACAATTTGCGATCTCTTGGAACTAGTAATATAAAAATAATGTTTCTGTTTGTTATTTTTAAAATTGTTCTCCTTCGTTTATGTTTTTGTTTCTTGCGAACAAATGTGAGAGACGTTATACTGATCAAACGGTAGAATCAAATAATTATAATGAGGGAAATGACGAAAGTACAGGAATCCTGCGACGTCGAGGTCGATTCTCGGGTTCGACTTACGGATGAAAAATATTTTACGTAGAATCGAAAGCAACGAAAGAGGCGAGCAAGATAATATTCGTAGGTGACAACGAATTAAGAAAATAATGAATGAGCTAACTATCTCGAAGCGAAAGCAAGTGAAAATTAATCAAATTGAAAAGGTGGCTATGGAAAATGAGTTGCGACAATCGATAAGCCAATTAATAATGAAATAATTAAAAGTAAGTGGGTTTTTTTACCATGAAAGAGGATAGGAAGTTAAATATAAGGCGCGATTATTTGTGGCGGGATATGATCAAATAAAAGACAAGGACTACGATGATTTACAGAAACATGGTGTTTGTTAATGTCGGTAGTCGCTAAATTACATCGGAAGTTCAATTCTCTGACATTAAAACTGCCTAAATAACCTAACATAACCTATACGAAGAATATTACGGCGACGATAAATTTTTGAAACTTAGGAGAAGTATACAGGTTGTCTAAAAAAATGTCTCATAATCCGGAAATGGAGGGTTCCCGGCATCATTTGAAGTAACTTTTTCCTTAGCGAAAATGCAATCCGCGGCTTCGTTCACGAATTATTAACGAAAAACAATGACCAATGAGAGGCGAGATCAACTGGCGCGAGACGGCCGAGCCAATGAGCGGAACTGAGTCTCGCGCGTTCGTTGGCGTCAGCCGAGCTCGTCTCTCATTGTTGATATCTCGTAAACGAAGCCGCGGATTGCATTTTCGCTAAGGAAAAAGTTACTTCAAATGTCCTCGGGAACCCCTCATTTCTTGCTTGTACAATAATTTTGGGATACCCTGTATTGCAAACTGAACTAGATACGGATATCGCGTTTGTAGTATCATATTTATCACAGTTCAACCATTGACCAAAAAGAAAAACGCATTTATCATCAATAAAGAGAGTATTAACGTATTTACAAGGCATGAAAGATAAGATACTCTTCTACAGGGTGTCCCAAAAATGTCTCGCAATCCGAAAGTGGCGGGTTCCCCAGGTCATTTGAAGCAACTTTTTCCTTTACAAAAATGATCTCCGAGACACCGTTAACGAGTTATTAACGGTAAACAGTGACCAATGAGAGGCGAGCTCGGCTGGGGCGTGGCGACCGAGCCAATGGGCGGAACCGGGCTTCGCGCGCTGGTTGACTGGGCCGCCTCGCGTCAGCCGTACCCGATTCTTATTGGTTACTGTTTTTCGTTAATAACTCGTTAACGGTGCCTCGGAGAAAAATTTCGCAAAGGAAGAAGTTGCTTCAAATGATCCGAGGAACCCGCCATTTCCGGATTGCGAGGCATTTTCGGGACACTCTGTATAGTGACAAGCGTGATCAATTAGAAGCCTATGCGGATGGTGGTAAATCCTTCTCAGAGGAAGCAATAATAACAGGCGACTCGTTAATCTTGCGACGAAACAATAAGCAAAAGTATGATGGTCTTTCGACGTGTACAGTAGAGTTATTTGTCTGCTCTGAAATAGTAAAAGCTGTTACACGAGTCGTTGATGTGTTAAACGAAATAAATTTACGACTGTTCTGTCCTAAACCAATAACCATGTATTTGCGATAATATGGCAGCCATTATATGGATGAAAAGTGCTCGTGCAATTCTCGTCCGAATAAAACGAGAATTTTCAGTTTCACTGTGTACGCGATGAAATTGAAGACGATACGCTCGGTATTAAACACACAGATACGCGATACATGATTGCTGACTTTCTTACCAAAGCAGTAACCCGGAAAAAAACTATCGCGGTTTTTAAGCAAAATCAGATCGACGGATACAGAGAAAATGATACGAAACGAACATCTAAAGAAAAAATTACGTAGCTCGCAAAGGGGAATGTAGAGACAATTATACATGTGTATACATATATGTGTACGAGCTACCGTAATTGGAGTGGAGAGAGCTCCGCGATGTCTCCCAAAATCTTTCCGCGGATCACTCGCGCCGAAAAGCCTAACGAGAAGAGGCGTACTCGCGCAGTGCTGTGTAACGACAAGCCCGTAGACGAGATTTATACGTACACTAGATACTACGAATAGTTACAAACGTGTATATTAAGTAGTGTAATAATAATAATTAGAATAATAATCCAACACTTATGAATACGTTTTAAGATGTTAATATTTAAAATTAGGTCAACTGACTATTCCAGGCCATTTTCAGACAAAACATAATCGTAGCGATTAGCGGTTGTGGATAGCATTGATCGCGCGACATATTCACGAGCTCCCGTTTGTTTCTTTTTATTCAATTCGCAATTGTGAAGATGATAAAGGCGAACGTGTAAATATCTCTATCAGCTTTTCGTCTGAAAAGGTCTCAATTGGTGCGCTTACGTGAAATTACTGATTACTTATTAAATGAATGAAGGGATATCTCCGACCTGCGCCAGTCCCAAGTGCGTGCTGGCCGTTTCGCTTATGTACATAATTTTGCCGCTGGGCGCCACAACGAATATGAAACCGTCCAGCGTCTGAAACAAGAAACCATAAATCAGAACCGATCTAATTCGATACCAAAAAATAATATCGCTTCGAATGACCGCTTTCGATGCTCCTTTCTCTTCGCGCAATAACAATTTCGCGCTGTTGTCGGAATGGAGCGTTCGCTCGATGTCGCGTG